AGATCTCTCCCAAACATCAGGCATCTATCTCTATTTGTGTTGTGACCACCTGCATCAGGTGCTCTTAAGAGGCAGGCTCTATTATAATCACCTTAGGCTATTTATTTATTTTTTTAATAGAGGCATGTTTTATTTATTTATTTGTTTGTTTGTTTGTTTTGTTTATACATGCACTGGGTACAGTCAGAAGCGCGGGAGGGTGAGAGAATTCACCAGAGCCAGAACGGGGAGCAGAGCAGGCAGAAGGACCGAAGTACACTGCTGAGGGGAGCAGCGGGCGGCAGGAGAGGTCTGCGCGCCATGCGGGACCCTCCTCCGGTGGCCGGGGAGCAGCCGGGGATCGAACCGGCGCCACAGAGGCCGCGGGCAGCTTCGCAACCCAGCGCTCAACCGCTGAGCCACCGGGGAGGCCCAGGCTATTTATTTTTTTTAAAGATTTATTTATTTATGCATATAAGAGCTGGGGTATAGGCCAGAGGTGTGGGGGTGAGAGGATTCACCAGAGACAGAGTGGGGAACAGACTAGGCAGACGGACGGAAAACACTGCCGAGGGGAGCAGTGGACGAGACAGGAGAGGTCTGCTGCGCCAAGTGGGTAGCTCCCTGCCCAGGGATCGAACTCTTGCTGCAGTGGCTGCGGATAGCTTCATAGGTTGTGTCTTAACCCCTTGCACCATCAGGGAGGCACCTTCGGCAACTTAAAAAAGGATTTTACTAAATAGCTATTTCTCATCTACTTTGTAGGTCTAGCTGCTGTGGAGTCAATAATTTGTGTTCTTATATAGGTTCCCTAGAGTTCTGTTGTCTAGGCTTAGGAAACCATGGTTGAGCCCACAGATTTAGCTTGTACCTCACGGGCCAAATCCTTGATGCAAAAAAATAAAAATCTTACATAGAAGATCAAGAAAGTACACACGCAGATGAAAGGCCTTGAGGTGGGGAGACAAGAGATTGCTTGTGGGAAGAATGAGGAGCAGCTAGTTTTGGAGCCAGAGTAAGGAGAGCAGCTACCAACTGAAAGGGTCGCTTAGGGCCAGGCCAAGCCAGCCCTCACCACACTAGCAGACCACTACAGCTTCAGCACAGGGCTCCTTTCTTGCCCTATGCCCCATACCAGAGGGCTGATGCCCGCCCCCCCTCCCCAATTCCTTCATGTCTGTCTGGACTCCATTCAGATGTGGTTTCCTGAGATAAGCCTTTCTGAACACCACATAGGTAATTAATTACATTGAATTCTAATCCTTTAAATAGTCTGCCCCCGCCCCCCCAAAGGCTACCCAGAGGGCAGGGATAGTGCCTGTTCTGTTTTTCTAACACAGCACTGGGCTTGGCACAGAGTATAGCTGCAGTCATATTACAGAGGGCAGGAATGAGGCCTGAACCCTCCCAACTAGGCTTATCTCCCTTCTTCCCAGCAACCAGCAGCCCCTCAGAACAGTCAGAACCATTATAATTTAAATAAAGTAGGCTTAGGGGGCCTCCCTGTTGGCACAAGGGGTTAAACATCAGCACTATTAAGCAATCCGTAGCTACTGCAGCACAAGTTCCATCCCCCAGCCAGAGACATGGTGCAGCAGACCTCTCCTACCTTGCTTGCTGCTTCCCCTCAGCAGTGTATTTCAGTAGATCTTCCTGTTCTGCTCCCCACTCTGTCTCTGGTGAATCCTCTCACTGCCCCCCCCACCTCTGGCCTGTACCCCAGTTCCTGTATGCATAAATAAATAAATCTTTAAAAAAAGATAAAGTGGGCTTAGAGGGTGTCCCAGGGAACTAGGAAAATCCCTCACAAATGACTTTTTTTTTTTGCTTTACCCTCCCAACTGCCTAGCCCCAGGGCAAGTACCAGCAAACCAGTTAGTTAAATGACTCATTGACTTGCTAATGAGATTGCTTCAGGGCTGGTAGAAGGAGACAATCAAAAGAGATGTCCCCAAGGAGAAGGAAAACATGCCAGGAAAATGTTTATGCTTGTTGAAGCCAGGTGACCTACCAGGGTGCACCACAATATTCTCTTTTGAGGATATTTACAAATGTCCTTAATACAAAATGAAATGAACAAAATTAAATACAGGAAAAAAGAGGCCTCTAGAGACTTAAGCCAAATTTTCTGGATTGAGGATCCATAACATTTCCTATACTTCTGAGGTCCTGCTATTGACATTTATCTTTATCTTTTGCCAATTCAACAATTATTTACTGAGCACCTTGCAGATACCAAGCAGTTGGGCTATAGTGATAAATAAGACTAGGCAGGCCTATGTCTGTACATGCTTAAGCAGTTACAGATAGTGTTAAAATGCTTCTAGCAGGTAGAGCACAGGTCCCCCAAGGATCTCGAGTTTCCGTGGTCTGGGATGGTGAGAGTTTGGCGGGAACATGGCAGGGTCAGGCAAAGGGTCCTCTATGCAGGTAGGGACAGGTGATGTACTAGGTTGGCAGCAGTCACTGAAGAGTTTTAAGTAGTGGAGGGTAAAGCCAAAAAAGTCATTTGTGAGTGATATTTAAGAGGTTCATGTATAGGAATTGGTCTACCCTTTTCCATGTGCTGAACTGAACTGATGCTAGGCACTGCTGGACACCTGGGGTCAGCCCGAGGCTTATTATATAGGAGAGAGTGTTATAGGGCAGCCCCGATACAAAACGGGTTGCCTGATTGTGGGTCCTCACCCGCGCGCTTAAAAGGACTTATCAATACTCTACTTCAGGCACACAGGAAAGGTTAATAAAAGGTTTATTTACAAGGGAAGGGCAAATGAGGAAATGTACAACTCAGGGAGAAAAGTGGGAGACAAAGTTTTAAATGCGTCCTACAGGACCCGCCGATCTAGAATCCTAAATGGCACTCTGAGAGCTGGCCGCGAGCCAGGAGCCGTGAAGCTGTTATAGGACAGGGAGAGGGGCAGCCCAAACCCCACAAACCTGCCTATTCTAGATGCTTTAGACTTGTAGCAGGCTTTGGGGCCTTGTTCTGGGCCGATCCCATATGGATGGACTTTTACCCACGAGGGCACGGGTAACTTTGGGCGCCTCATTTAGAAACTAGACTCTTTGCCTTTCCTGTATTGTTTCCTAGTTTTATTAAAGATCCTTCCCATTACTCTCATGTGTTTTGTGTTGATGCGGCGGATGGCCGAACCCATTTAGAATAGGCAGGTTTGCGGGGTTTGGGCTGCCCCTCTCCCTGTCCTATAACAAAGCCAGGAGGTGAGCGACAGAGCGAGCCCCCCCCAAGGCCCACGTGTTTGGTTTTTTATACCAACCCTGGCTACTTAACTCCACCCTCAGGTCCCTGCCACCTTCCCTTTGGTGGTGACAGGATTTGTCTTTCCCAATGTCCTGATGGCTTTGGTCTGGAGTGGGGGTGGAGTCCACAAAGCCTGTATGGGATTAGCTCAGGACATCATTTCCCCCTAACAAGAGGAGGATGAAAATAAGAGTGGAAGTACCCACTTCGAGCCAAACACGTCACAGGGAGTCCTGACTTTGTCTTCTCTGTCCCTCTTTTACCCTTTTCAAAGAGGTACAACCACCTCCCTTTTTCAGCTAAGTAAACAGGCACAAAGAGGCAGTGACTTGGCCAAGGTCCACACTCTCCTGGAGAAGATAGGCAGGCTCTGAGTCAGACAGTCTGTAACTCTAGAGCCTTTCTTAGAGACATATTCGGATTAACCACTATCCAGTGCATATAAAGCCAGGTGACAAGGCGTTCCAGGGGCTGAATTCTCACAATGAGGCTTCAGGGAGGAGGAAAAGAGCTGAGAAAAGACAGAGGGGTTCAGGGTTGGGTAAGGAAAGGAAGAAAGAGTGTCACAGATTAGAGCAATGGGATATGAAAGGGCAGTGGCAGGGGCCTCCCCGGTGGCGCAGCGGTTGAGCGCTGGGTTGCGAAGCTGCCCGCGGCCTCTGCGGCACCAGTTCGATCCCCAGCTGCTCCCCGGCCACCGGAGGGTCCCACATGGCGCGCAGACCTCTCCTGCCGCCCGCTGCTCCCCTCCTACAGTGTACTTTGGTCCTTCTGCCTGCTCTGCTCCCCGCTCTGGCTCTGGTGAATTCTCTCACCCTCCCGTGCTTCTGACTGTACCCAGTGCTTGTATAAACAAAACAAACAAACAAACAAATAAATAAATAAAACATGCCTCTATTTAAAAAAAAAAAAAAAACTATTTAAAAAAAAAAGAAAGGGCAGTGGCAGGAAGGGAGGCAGAAAGCTTGGGGGAGAAGCTGACTGGCTCATGAAGGGAGCCAATGGAGCAGGGGTGGCTTCTGATGCTAAACTATGTCTCTCCTGTAGGTGAGAGGCAAACTGGAGGCCAGACAATGGCAGTCCAGGCTGTCCTGCCTCAGCAGCACAATATACCTGCAGGTCCACGATCAGGACAATTCAAAAGAGACAATACCTTGAACTCTGATGAAACGCAGACATGATCTTAAGTGTGCCTATGTGCATGGCTTACAAAGCATTTTCACATTCAGTTCTGAATCTACTCCTCACAACAGTTAAGTCAAACAGAGGATTCTAACCCCACTTTATAGATGGGGACATCAAGATGTGGCTCAAAGTTCCCATGTGGCAAAAGTTTTTGACCCCAGAACTTCTGACTTCTGCCCTTTCCTTGACAGTGATTGTAACTCAATTTTTAAACACACTGCATATCACCGCTGGCCCTGTCACCAAGTTGCCATCCAAACATGCTCTTGGGGCAGAGGCCGAAGCCTGCTGAAGTCCATACAGTGCCTTCTTACCTTCCCACTGCCTTGTGTTGACGGTGACACCCAGACATTAATAGCAACCCCTTGCCTCTTCAGAACTCTCCAAAATCTGAAATCTAGCTGCAATGATCTCATTTCATTTTCTTTCTTTAAGGCAGGAGTGTCCTCATCTGATCCAAGAAGAAAATGAGGACCAGAGAGGGGAGGCGGCTGGCCCAAGGCCACACAGTGAGTCAGTACCAGGGCTGGGGCAGGACTAGAACTCACATACCCTCTTAGCCCCTCCTTACCTGCAGCACTGACAGGTTGGTCTGTCCAGAAAGGCTCAGCTTCTCCTGCTCTGAGGGGTAGGCATTGTAGCGGTGCAAGTACAGCCAGTCCCGAAGGATCTTCACTGACTCCTTGGGCAGGTTCCCTCTGCGCTTCCTCTTGCCCGCCAGGGAAAGGAGGCCTTCATCCTCACCCAGATCACTGTCTGACATGGTGTTTAGGAGCTAGGCTGGACCCTGGGCAAGCCTGCAACAAGTGACAAAGGATATGGGGACATTATTATCCTGCACTACTGCCGCTCACCCTTTTCCTAGTCCAAACCTACCAATACTACTCTAGATCCAAGGACACCAGAAAAGGGGAATTGCAATTCAAAGCCTCAGGGCATACCCACAGTCTGGGGAGGCTAGAAGGGTTAAGTGCAAAATGGCTCCATTTCCTGGAGCCTGTAGATGGCTACTGAAAGAAACAGTAGTTCATTAATAAACAGTGCCAGTCTAAAAATAATTGCAACTATACCACTGAGGTCTACCCTTTTCCATGCGCTGAACTGAGTACTTCACAATTATCTCATTTAATCCTCACAAAGCCCTTCTACAGGAGATACTATTTATTTATTTATTTTTTAAAGATACTATTATTTTATAGGTGAGAAAACCAGGGCCCAGAGAGGCTGAGAAAGCCACCCCAGATATGTTACCATGTGACCAGGTAATGTCACTCCTAAGTATTTATTTACCCAGGAGAAATGAAAACCCATTTCCACACAAACGTGTGCTTTACACACACGTTTATAGAAACATTATTCATAATGACTAAAAGGTGTAAACAACCCAAGTGTCTCCATCCCTACAGTGGACAGATTATTTGGCTATAAAAACGACGCTTCAACCCAACCCATATTACAATGTGTATAAACTTTGAAAATACACTAAGTGGAAAAAGCAAGTCAGAAAACCCGCATATTATGATTCCATTTTATGAAATATCCAGAATGGAGTAGGGATTCATGAGTGATAAAGAACATAGTTTCTTTCCTTTGTTTTTATTTTTTGTACTTTCTTTTTGAGGAGATTAAAAAAACTCTAAAATTGTGGTGATGGCTGTATACACTAATTTTCATGTTTTAAATGTATAAATTGTATGGCATGTGAATTGTAGCTCAAAACTGTTGTGGGGGAAAAAAAATCCCAGCCCTAGGATATAGCCTGGACGTAAGGTTTGGACTCAGGTAGTTTGCCTTGTCCTCCACCCACCTTCCCCGCCCCAGTGTACTCCATACCATCTGGCATCCCAAGACCCAATGAGTCTGGAAATTCTATCAGTCACTTACAGCAATTCACAAAATATTTACTGAGCACCTACTGTGTGCCCTGCAGAGAGCATGACATCATCCCCACTGTTCCTCTTTCAGACATTCTCCTTTGCCATCTAGCCCTTGGCCTGATCCTGAAATCAACTCCTCAAAAATCCAGATACATGAACAAGGCTGTGGGCTCTGGTCCCTCCAACTTAGTCGTGTCACCTTGGACAAAAGTCCTCCCCTTTCTCTGCCAGAGGCCCCTCTTCATCTGTCAAATGAAAGGTAGGTGCTTCCCTAGACAACCTAACTCAGTTGCTCACATCCCCAGGACAAACTTCTTGTTCACACTTGCAAAAGAGATTTACATTATAAAACCAAAAGTTCCACACGCCAAGCAGATGCCAGAACCTCCAGGCTCCTCCCTCTCAGCCTTTTAACAGCTTCCCAGCAGGCTGGGCCAACAGACTCTGGCATCTCCCAGGTTTTGTTTCCACTACTTGGGCCTGAGCCCAGATCTCCGGGCTGGCTAGGCCAGGCTTTCGAGGGAAGGGTCTACCCTCCCCACCAGGCCACCTGGAGGTGAGTCAGGAATTGGTGAGAGGTGCCACTCACTGCTCAGCACCAACAACAGGCTGCTCTCTGAGGTTTAGCTGTCCAGGGCAATTGGGATCTGGGTTCAGGGAAGCAACTCTGGCAGGCTGTGAGTTTACTCAAGGTTATCTGTACAAATTCCGCCCTGGCTGCCTGCCAAGTCCCAGTCTGCAGGGCTCCAGGAGTGGGCTATGGAGAGGGCCCCTAGTGTCCCGTGCTCCAGCCTGGTTAGAATCCAGAAGGTTTTCCACAAACACTCTCGACACCCATATACACACACCCTCACACCAGGCAACTCTAATAGCACCAGATAACTGTAAGCAACCCATCCCTCAGCCCCTGGCATCCCCATGGTTTTCACTGACAAATATCAGCACACACAGTTTATAAACCCCAATTCACGAATAACTGGTAGCCACACAACGAACCCAATTCTTGGACCTATGCCCACCCACGAACTCCAACCGACCCGCCCACCCACGATCTCTCAGACTGGGAAAACTCCGGACGTCATCACACCAGAGAGCCTTCTTACCCCAGCTGGCCTGTGGCAGCACCCTCCGGACACAACACCCGGTGAACCCGCCAACACACTCGGCGCCGCCGACCTGCAGCTACTCCCGCAGGAACTTTCTGACAACTCCCCCAGCTCGGCCGGACACTCCCCCGGGCAGCGCACTCACGCCGCATTCCCAGCAGTTCACACAAAGCGCGCAGCCTCCCCCGCGGGCCGCACCGTGAGGGAGCACATGGCTCCCGGGGCGGCGGGGAAGCGGCCTCCGCTCCGGCGCCTGCACCCCTCAGCCCCCCAGCGGGGTCAGACTCGGAGCTCCAGTTCCCCCGCGGGCCCGCAGCCCCGGTGGGGGGGGCTCTGGAAGAAAGAAAACTCACGTGTCTGCCCCGGGGCCGTAAAAAGTTTGGTTCCCACCCCTTCCCCCGCCGCTCCGAGCTGGCTGACTCTTCGGGGCGCGGGGCCGGCCGAGCCTGCGCGCTTGGCTTTGTGCTCCGAACTCGGCCCGGAGGGGGAGGGGAGGGGGCTGGGCTCCCACCTCCGCGCCGCCCCCCCCCCCAGCCCTGCGCCCAGACTCCATTTTGGCCGCCCCCAGCCCCGGAGGCTGCGCGCTTCCCCTCCGGAGGCTCGGCTCGCGCCCGGCCTGCCTGAGGGGCCCGGCGCGCACAAACTTTCTTCGGGCCGCCGGCCCCACGCGCCCCGCTCCCTCGGCCCGCCCGGGAGTGACAGATGCCTCAGAGACAGACTTTCCTTTGTTCCAAGGGAAAGGGGAACTCGCGCGGGCTCTCCAGCCCCGCCGGCCCCGGGCCCTGCCCGTCGCCCCCGCCGCAGCTGTCACTCCCCGCGGCCCCCTCCCCGGCCCGGCCGCGGGGGGGCGGGCGGCCGGCGGTTAGCAACGTGCACTTTTGAAACCAAACAAACCCGCCCCCCGCGCGCTCACCCTGGCCCGGGGCTGGGGCGGCCGCCTCCCGGGACGGGATCCTGGGGCGCCGCGCCCCCCCAGGGGGTCCCGAGAGCGCGTCCTCTCGGGCAGCGGGGCAGCCCCCCACCGGCCCCCGCCCCCACACCGCGGCCGGGGCCAACAAACACACCCACAGCCGCACGCGCCGGGACGACGCTCCCTCCCCCGCCCGGCCGAGGAAAAGAAACTTTCCAAGTTGTCCGCGCGCCCCCTGCCCCCCTCTCCTCCCCTTCCCGCGCCCCGCACTGACTTTTCCGGGCGGCTTTTCAGTCCACGCGGCCTCAGGCTCCGTCCGGGGCGTCCTGGCGGGGGGCGGGGGCCGCCGGGGGAGCGCGCCGCGTACCTGCCCGGCCTGACACTCGGCCTGACAGCTCGCGGCTGGAAAGCACCTCGCGGCCTGACGTCAGATCCCCTCTCCTCCCTCGCGCCCTCCCCCACCCGCCCGCGGGGAGAAAACAAACTTTGTGAGGAGCGCGGCGAGCTACGCCCACCCCCCGCGGGGCGGGCCGACGGCGGCAACGAGGGGCTTCGCCCCGCCCACCGCGCCGGAGGGGGCGGGGCCCGGAGGGCACCTTCTTCCTGCGCCCACCCCCACCCTCAGGAATGCCACATGGCCTCGGCGAGGGCGGTGGGAGCCCGAGTGGGGTCGTCCGCTTGGGGGCAGGAAGTGGCCCGTTCCTGCTTTCAGAGGGCGTTTCGGGGCCGCCTACTGCGTGCCCCACACGGGGGTGGGGGCCGCGCCCGAGAGGAGAAATCGGTAAATCCTAACGTGACGGCGACTGCTCCCTCCGCCGGCATCTCCCCCGGTGGTGCGGTTCCCGTTGTGCTGAGAGGAAACTGAGGCCCGCTTAGTCCGGGGATTTTATCCCCAGGTGGGAAGGTCTGGGCTCTGAAAGCTAGGCCAGTTCTGCCCTCAGGGGCCTTAGAGTCGGTGGAAGGGCGGCTGACTCCCCCCAAAGCTAGGTCTGACCCACCACGGGTAGCCTGAGGTAAAACCAAAGCTGAAGAAGTGTTTTTAACGCTCTCAGTGACCCTGAGCGAGTCAGGGGTGTGTGTGTGAGAGAGCGAGATCCCGTCCAGTCCTCAGGTTATGAGGTGGATGCTCTTAAATGGATCAGCCCCTGGTTCACCCATGAACCGCAGAGAGGTTCTTGTCTCTTGATACACAGTCAACCAGTGTCAGTCAGCCCATGTGGTTCCCTTAGCAGAGCCCAAGCCCTGAGCCCATTGTGACAGGCTCTGGAAGGAGGCAGACCATCCTCTAGGAGCGCCCCACACTCCTGACTGGTGTCCTTTTCCTCGCCGCAACAACCCAACTCCAGAAACACATTTCCTTGGCCTTATCCAAGCCTGCCTCTGTGCTCTCAGTACCATATACTGTGAAATACATGCTGACCCAGCCCCTATATCCTGAGGGGGAGAGTTTGTGACACCCGTAGCCCAGCAAGTTAGCCTAACTACAACTTGGCGAAGCTTTCCTAGGCCTCCTCTTCTGGTCCCAAATATCTAGGATGCTTGAGCTTGAAAATCAGCAGCCGGGAAAACTTTTGGTCTTAACTGCACTTTAGCAATGGAGAACTCTGGAAACAAACAAAAAAAACAAGATTTTCTCCACAAATCCCAAGCCAGTCAGAATGCTTATTAAAGACCATTGGGTGCACCTGAGCTCCGCATGAGGCCAGACTTCATGGAAACCCTTAGAACCTAGTTAGCTGCACTGCTTTCCTCACAGAAGCACCAAAGTGTTGGTGTTACTGCCCAACACTCTCTGTTTTACAGATGGGGAAACTGTTACCCAGAGTGGAGGTTCCAGACAATTTCCTGTGGAAGTGATGTTCTGTCCACAGACTTCTGAGAGAAAAAAGGGAGCTTGGGAAGTCCTAGGTAAGAAGGTAAAACCCTCAGCTCTGGCCACTAGGATCAAAGAGCTTGTGGGGCTTGAAGGGGAAATCTGGTGCAGCTCCAGGCTTTGGCACTTAGCTGGCACTTAGCTCCAAGAATGGTACTTGAGTATCAGATTCACCATTTTGGGGGAGGCCACTGGGTACCTGGACTGGAGACCAGAGATCTCCCCATAAATTTGGGCAGCAGCAGTCCCCTAAATCAATATGCCCAGTTCTTGCACTAGATAAGGTACGTGGAGCAAATGGAGGAAAACAGCTCCTTCTCTTTAGCCCAAAGCAGAGCCACCTGGGAGCTGGGTAACAAAGCAGCTTCGGAAGCCCCTCCTCAGACTTCCTGGAGGGGGAGGGAATGTTAGAGGATGGAGGAAAGCTTGGTAGCTTGTCAGGATGTGTGTTGTAAACAAATTCCCAGGTAAAGTGTTTGAGAATTACCCTGGCAAGTTTCTCAACTGGTGTCAGAGTCTAAAATGTGTGCATCCTTAAGCCAGAAATTCTACTTCTAGGAATCTATTATGAGGAATAATTGCAAAACAAAGATAAATGCTTACACAAGCTTGTTTCTTTGCAGCACTGTTTTTGGTAGAAAATGGCAACCAGAGACACAGCCCTCACCTGGAGTTGAGGGGTAAGAGCAATGCCTGGTCCAGCTGCTGTTGTGATGGGGTAAGTCCATGCGCCCTATCCTAATGGGGTGGCCATGGTTTATGATGACAGTTTGCAGTTGTCTCAGGTAGAAGGGGCTTTGGATATGATTTGAGAGAACTTTCATGGGAAACCTTTTCAAATTGGGAAGTTATTTTTATTATCACTTTCTCTCATTCAATTTTGCAACCTTCTTCCTCTTACTGTCTTGTGCACACATGAAAAACTGGGTTCCTGCTAGAAGAAGGGACTTGCCTGATAATGAACCTGGGATGCTAACTCCTGGGACTGATCTGGCGTTGGCTGTGAGGGGGAGGAAATGTGGGCATGGGATCAGAGCCCAGCCCAACTTGGTTGCCCATGGGGTCCATTTTAAGAAGAGTTCCCTGGAACTCAAGGCCCATCTGACCACAAAAAGGACTTACTAGATGGCTTAAGGCAATTCCTGCCTCTATACTAGAAAACCCAACTTAGTTGTGTCTGATTTTGGGGCTCAGAGTCATGCCTGTTTCTAGTGAACTAAATGATCACACAAGTTCAAATAAGTGTCATGTAAATTTACATGTTTTTTAATAAAGCTAACCTCTGCTCTTTTTACCTGTGGTTAATGGAAGTGGAGCAAAGGACCCAGTAGACCTCAGGCGCCAACATGATCCAAGGCCAGATATGGCAGCATAAAGTAAATAGGGGTTCTGTGGGGTAGAGAAGAGTCTAGCAAAGGTTGGAGTCAGTGAGTAAGCCAGGAATCAGCTGGTTTTAGTGAGTTGGTAGGGCGTGGAAGGCCAGGGTGAAGAATTTGGATGTGGTGGTGTGGGCAATAGGGAGCTCCAGTAGGTTCCTGAGAGAAGGGGCGCGATTGGAGGCAGGTGAGGCAGCGCTGGGTAATTGAGGCCAAACAGATGAAGACCTGGCTCTGAGGTCTGGGAGATTTGTGGTGCTCTACTGTGAGGTTCTGTATTTCATCTAATGTAGATTTCAGCCTGTGGACATCTTCCTTCTTGTAGTATCTTGTCAGTGAACCACAGTTTGCTTAGTTTTCTTCTGGTGGTGAGGTATTAATTTTGTTTTTGTTTTTTTTCTTACTGTTTTTTTATTTTTATTTTTAAAAAATATTTATTTATTTATACAAGCACTGGGTACAGTCAGAAGCATGGGAGGGTGAGAGAATTCACCAGAGCGGGGAGCAGAACAGGCAGACTGACGAAATACACTGCTGAGGGGAGCAGCGGGCGCGGCAGGAGAGGTCTGCTGCACCATGTAGGACCCTCGCCGAGGCCAGGGATCAAACTGGCACTGCAGAGGCTGCGGGCAACTTCGCAGCCCAGTGCTCAACCACCACGCCACCGGGGAGACCCTTACTGTTTTTTAAAGATGTATTTATTTATGCATTCAAGAACTGGGCCAGAGGTGTGTGGGGTGAGAGGATTCACCAGAGACAGAGTGGGAAACAGAACAGGCAGGTTGACTGAAACATTGCTGAGGGGAACAGCAGGCGAGCCAGAAGAGGTCTGCTGTGCCATGTGGGTTGCTCCCTGGCAGGCCAGGGATTGAAAACGTGCTGCAGAGGCTGAGGACAGCTTCACAGCTTGTGTCTTAACCCCTTGCACCACCAGGGAAGCCCGAGGAATTAATTTTGGAATGCCTGTTGTGTATCGGGCTTTGGGCTTGAAGCTGGGGAACATGTTGCCTAGACCATCTTGAAGGGTTTGGGCAACTGCGTCAGGTGGTGGAAAGGGTATGGGATTGGAGCCACTAGCCATGTAGGCAGATCATCTAAATACTTTATCTCGGTTTTCTTATTTGTGGAAACATTAGCTTTGGTGAGGGTCTGAGAAAATAGTGGCCGTGGAAGCCTTTTGAGAATAGCTGAGTACTTAAAGAAGTAGAGATACCATTATCAGGTTGTCTTAGCCCTGTCTCTAAGATCCATGTGATGTTTGACAAATAAACTCATTTGAATTGCAGTTTCTTTTTCTTCAGTTGAGAAATGAGGGTTGCACATGATAATCCTGGAAGTCTCTTCTTTGGCATTCCATCATCTAAGGGTTAAATATTTTTGAAAGCAACATATATATAAATTCTTGTTTGTCCACAGCTTAGGCAACACTGGGATTTATCTTTTTTTTATTTTATCTTTGCTGATTTAAGTGGTGAAGAGTATTATGTAAAAGTTGTATGTGTCTGCAGGGCTTTCTTAAATAGCCAGACTAAACTTTGTCCCAGTTATGCTTGCTTATCTGATTTTCTTCCTGTGCAAACAGTTCTCATCAAAAGACAGGCCTGAGCTACAGCATTGTAACTGGGGGGAGGGGGGATTGGTATGGCAGGGATATGGTGGTTACCTGCTGGTAGCCATGCTATGGTCTCTTGATACCTTTCTGGTTCCTAGACAGGTTAATTAGTGCTTTTAATTTAAGGATTTAAAAAATTCCGTTTGCTTTTTCTGGTAGTCTGTTCTCCTTTGTGTAAGGGGTTGGATACTGGCACTGCCAATCATTGCTATAGAAATCACTTGGTCAGAGTTGGCTATTGTAGATTCTGGGACACTTAATGACAGTATTTTCTTCATTCTTTTCATTAGGGTCCAGGTGATGGTTTTGATGGGGATCAGATTCCATTTGGCATGATTTCGCCGTTTTTTTTTTTTTTTTTTAATGTGGGAACTTTCTTACCTCCTGGAGTAATTTTAATTACAAAAACCAACATACTATGTTAATTATGGCAAATTAAACAATGCAGGGGCAGATACAGAAAAAGTGAATAACCTCTGCCCTCATTCCTGCCTGTCAGCATCAGCAGTGATAATGTTACAGAGCAATCCCGATTAGCTTTAGGACA